GCAGAAATGACATGTTTCTCTAGGTTTGAGCCTGGGTTTCTTTTTTCTTTGTTTACTAAGCATCAACATTATTCCCAGGATATTGGCTCTAGACTTAAATATCTTTCATTGTGGTCCTGTTGTTAATTTGTATGAGTTTATATTATTATTAGAAAATATTTCAAATGTTACCGTTAGCAACCTGATTATATGTTCTGGTCTTTTTAAACTATATACATGAAAAAATCATTGTTCAGCTATTCCTAAGTATATCTACTAATCTTTTTTTTTTGTTTGTTTAAATAAATTTCCCTTTTAGAACTGCTTTTTATACATCCTAAAGATGTTGGACCATTGTGTTTTCATTTTCATTTGTCTCCATGTATTGTGATTTTTTTATTTTTTTGGTTTTTAATTAATTAAATTTTAACTAATAGTTTAATAGTTTAATTAGTTAAATTTTAATTTCAATATAGTTACCATGCTGTTAATATTAGTTTTGGGTATGTAATATCTACTAATTTTCTTTTTTGTATTTAATTTATTTTTTAATTCATCTACTAATTTTCTTAACAGAAAAATATTTTCACACGAAAGAATTTGCTGCAGTTTGAGATAATTTATGAAGTTGTTTAGAATTTTCAAAGAAAAAAAAACTGATAAAATTTTAGTCAGCTACTGGGGAGTTAATGCTTATTTAATGAATATTGATTGAGTGAATGAATGCCATTTTTTGTAAAGTTTTGGTTTTAATTACACTCTCAGAAATTTATTAGACTTTAAGAGTAATATTTCAAAATGTAAATTTGCCAGAACACTTTATGTAGCTTTTGAGTCATGTTTGGTACAGTGTTTGTGTAATGTCATTTTAATTAAAAAGAGAAATTATGTCTAAAATATTGTAACATGGATGCAGATTTACTTGATAACTGTATTCCTGTAGGTAATTTCCCCATGATTAGTGATGATTTGGTCAATTCTTACCATCTTCTGCTGTGTGCTTTGGACTTGGTTTATGGAAATGCGCTTCAATGTTCCAACCGTAAAGAACTTGTAAACCCTAATTTTAAAGGTAAGTTTGTAAATCAAAGATTATTGGACAACTCACATTTCTACCTTATGTTTATTCTTGGGAGCTGTACACATGCCACAGGTTTCCTAGCATCAGAGAGCGTTAAGTGCTTTGAAAAGCTCCATCGTCATAATCCAGAATACTTGTAATTACTTAAACCCAGGAGTTGAGCTCTCTGTAAAAATATTTATGGAAAGTGCAATCGCAAATATTACAAAGTGTGAAGTCTTACATGACAACTGTAGAAGTTTCTGAAACAACAAGAAGGAATTTGAAAACCTATAGTAGCAAAGTCGCATTAAACTGATGTTGTTTTCTGCATTGCCGAGCTTTGTGCCTGACACACAGTAGGAGCTCAAAATGGATTTATTAAAATAATCTTCATTCAGATTTTTTCCTACAGAAGAGGGGTAGTTATGGTTGTAAATAAGTAAAATGAATTTTTAGCTCTTAAACTAAAAGATGGATAGAAATGATTATTTTGGCAATGCATTTAAGCAGGCTTTAAGGCCATGTTATTTCTATGAATGATACACAGTAAGAGACCAAATTATAACTCACAGACAATATTATATATATTAAACAGTATTTATAGAGGTAGTATATAAACTGTTGACATTTGAATAATACCATGGTAGGATTCTGAGTGATTTTCAGTTTTGGGGTGGTTATCATTAAAATTTTAGCTTGTCTGACTCTGAAGTTTTTTTTTTTAATGTTTATTTATTTTGAGAGAGAGCGTAAGCACACGTTTACACGTAAGCGGGGCGGGGGTGGGGAAGTGCAGAGAGAGAGGTAGAGAGAGAATCCCAAGCAGGCTCCTCACTGTCAGCACAGAACCTGACACTGGGCTTGATCCCACAAACCGTGAGATTGTGACTTGAGCCAAGATCAAGAGTCAGAAGCTCAACTGACTGAGCCACCCAGGTGCCCCTCAAGGTAGATTTTTAAAGTTACTGAGGTTACTTAGTTGTTCCTGCTTCAGTACATTTAATGTTCTTCGTATTCTCTCCTTTCCTTCCTAACTCCCTTTATATTTCTATGTAGTAGCTGCTTTTCATTTTTCTTCTCTTATTTATCCATTTTGTTTGATTTTAGTTTATTTATTTACTTTTGAGGGAGAGACAGAGAGACAGAGAGAGAAAGAGAAAATCCCCAAGTGGGCTCCGTGCTGTCAGTGCAGAGCCTAGCATAGGACTCGAACCCACGAACTGTGAGGTCATGACCTGAAGCTGAAATCAAGAGTAGGACGCTTAACCAACTGAGCCACCCAGGCCCCCCTTATTTATTTATTCTTATACTGAGTCTTGGGTAAGAATACGCTGTAAATCAATATGTTACCTACATCCAGTATGATGAGATGAAAATATATAAACAGTATATACTTTGAATAGTAATTTTTTTCAAAGTTGTATTTTTTATTTGAATGTCAGACTTATTTGCAAAGTTTTATTTTTTTATGTTCTTTAGATCTTATTGCAATATACTAAAATTGTTATCTCAGCTTTTTTTTCTTTATTTCCAGATAAATGATTAACTGAAATCTTTTGAGTAGTGATGTACTTTATCTGTATTTGCTGTATATTTATTTTTATTTAAGTATAATTAACATACAGTGTCATATTAGTTTCAAGTGTGCAACATAGTGAGTCAACAACTCTGTACATTACTCAGCGCTCACCACAGTAAGTGTAGTCACCATCTGTCGCCATGCAGTGTTCTGACAATATTATTAACTATATTCGTTATGTTGTACTTTTCATCTCCATGCCTTATGTATTTTATTTTATTTTAATTTATTTATTTATGTTAGCTACTTGGTCGATAAGTTTATTATTGTCTTTGTCTGAAAAATCTTCATAAAAATTGTGGTTTGATTTAGCTCTCAGTGGCCCACTCCTGAACTCTAAAGAAGCTTGCCTTCTTCTGAGCTGCCCAGTCTTTCTTCTGGGCAAGAAACATTTTGGGATAGTTCCACCTCTTTTTAACTTCTTTCTTAGGCTTCTTCTTCTAGACTGGATTCTCTCCTAGAGCAGTGTGAGCTTTACACATCTCCTCCACCTGTCTGGAGTTATTTTGTTCTTTTTTTTTTTTTTAATTTAAAAAAATTTTTATTTACTTTTGAGAGAGAAGGAGAGAGACAGAGGTGCAAACAGGGTAGGGGCAGAGAGAAAGGGAGACACAGAATCCGAAGCGGGCTCCAGGCTCCAAGCTGTCAGAGCAGAGCCTGACGTGGGGCTTGAACTCATGGGCTGCAAGATCATGACCTGAGCCGAAGTTGGACACTTAACCAGCTGAGCCACCCAGGTGCCCCCTGGAGATACTTTGTTCTCTATGTATTAAGAGAATTGTTTCTTGTAAGCGTCATCTTCTTCCATTAGGTAACGCATACAATCTGCAACTTTTTGACCCATGATGTACTGCCCGTGTCCTTCTGTACTCAATTACTCGCTTTCCATATCATAACCAGGGAATCATTTGGTACCATTAGGGACAGAGAAGGCACCATCTACAGCTCTCTTGAGGGCCCCCAAAACTTTATTTTGAGGAGTGGTTGCATCCAAATAGTAGGTGAAGGTACCAGGTTGACCCTCAGTGCTTTCCACAGTATTCATCCCCTGTCACCTCCACTTGGCCTTCTTAGATCTTGTCCAGGCCTGCTACAGTACACTGCAGCATAATTTGTCACGCCAGCCATCACACCTCTCTTTGGGAGTTCATAAGCACGCGCTGCACAAACCGTCGCATTTCCTTCTGTACGGGCATTAGCAGTCTGACAGATGATCTCTCTGGTCTCTCTGTGGACTATCATCCTGTATTTAGATGTGTTCTACTTATTTTTATCCTGAATTACCAAGCGTTCCCAAGCATAGTAATTAGTTTTGCCCTCTTGTCTTCTTCTAAATTTCACTTGGTATCTCTTGATGCAAGCTTTATTCTTGACAACCTTAACAAACCCCATCCTGTAGAACAGAGACTGGCGTCCATGGCTCACCACAGACAAGCAGGCCCAGAAATACTCCATTGGGGGGGGGGGGTGGCAACTTACTATTTTATAACTGGAAGTTTGTACCTCTTAATCCCTTTTATCCATATTGCCCATTCCCCCATCCACCTCTCCCCTGGCAACCACCAGTTTGTTTTCCATACTTAAGAGTCTGTTTTTTTTTCATTTGCTTTTTAAATTTCACATGTAAGTGAAATCATATGGTATCTATCAATTGTTTGACTTACTTCACCTGGCATAATACCATCTAAGTCCATCCATGTTGTTGTAAATGGCAAGATTTAATTTTTATGGCTGAATAGTATTCCTGTGTGTGTGTGTGAGAGAGAGAGAGAGAGAGAGAAAGGGAATATGAGAAAATGAGAGAGAGATCTATTCATATATTGATGGACACTTGGGTTGCTTCCATATCTTGGCTATTGTAAATAATGCTGCAGTAAACATGGTGGTGTGTAGGTGTTTCCAAATCAGTGTTTTCATTTTCTTTGGGTAAATACCCAGTGGAATTATGGGATCATATGGTATTTCTGTTGTAAATTTTTGGAAGAAATGCCACACTTTTCCAAAGTGGTTACACCAATTTACCATCCCACCAATAGTGTATGAGGATTCCCTTTTCTCCACATCCTCCCTAATGCTTGTTATTTCTTGTCTTTTTGATTGATAATGGCCATTCTGACTGGTATGAGGTCATATCTCATGGTTTTGATTTGCATTTCCCTGGTGATTAGTGATGTTGAGCTTCTTTTCATGTGTCTGTTGGACTTCTAGATGTCTTCTTTGGGAAATGTCTATTAAGGTCCTCTGCTCATTTTTTCATTGAACTGCTTGGATTTTTTTGGTGTTGTGTTGTATAAATTCTTTATACATTTTGAATATTAGCCCCTTATTGGATAAATCATTTGCATATATCTTCTCCCATTCATTAGGTTGCCTTTTTGTTTTGTTGATGGTTTCCTTTGCTGTGCAAAAGCTTTTTATTTTGGTATAATCCCAGTAGTTGATTTTGTTTTTGTCTCCCTTGCCTGAGGAGACATAGCCATAAATATGTTGCTATTGAATGATAGCAACATTCAATATTGAATGATATTGAAGAGGATGATATTGAAGAGATTACTGCCTATGTTTTCTTTTGTCTTTGCTATCTTAGAGGTATATTTAGAGTCAAATTATGCCCCTCTACACTCTTTCCTATGTGCTTATACACTAACTCATAGGCTGATTAGATTATTTGTATTTTGGTTTATTACAGTTTGATTTATTGAATGCTACCTGATCTCTCTGTTCTGTGATTCTGTTCATTATAGGCCTGTCAGAGGATTTTCATGCTAAGGATTCTAAACCTTCCTCGGACCCACCTTGTGTCATTGAGAAACTCTGTTCCTTACATGATGGCCTCGTTTTGGAAGCAAAGGGAATAAAGGAACATTTCTGGAAACCCTATATTAGGAAACTTTATGAAAAAAAGGTTTGTAAGTAGTAAAGAAGTAATGTGAAAATATTTTCTGTGGAAAGATTTATTTTAATATGATGACTTAAGGATCTTTTCTTTCATCATAGCTTCTTAAGGGAAAAGAAGAAAATCTTACAGGGTTTTTAGAACCTGGGAACTTTGCAGAGAGTTTGTGAGTATTTGTATTATCACCCATTTTAATATTTTGTAACTATGTACTTAGGAAACCTCAGCGTTTAGTGTCTTTATTGTTTGTACCCTGGAAACTTAGAATATATTTTGTGGGAGAACATCAGAAAGCAATCAAAAGTTGTGTCAACTGTTACTGTAAGCACACAGGTTAAAATTTATTGGAAATTGTATGGCTGTTCTTTAAAGTTTTAATAATTAAGCTTTTGGATCATAATTTTTGAGATAAAAGAAGTTCTTTGGCAACTGTATGGGTTCAAATGATGATGTAGAAGTAGCGAGGTCTTCAAAGGTGCCTAGAGCAACTGGGAAAGATAATTAAGCATCTCACCAGACACTGCACCTCCCAGGTAGATCGGTACGGGGTTCCTCCCCTCCAATCCCCGCCAAAATACTGTCAGCAAGATACACTCGCTGTATGACGGGTGAGCCTAGTGTAGCAAGCTTGCATTTTATACAGCTCAGATGTACATAACCGTGATCTGAAATTTAACTTTCACAAAATTATTAGAACTTGGAGTAAATAAAAAAATGACCTAATTAGGTGGCTTAAAATACTAACAGAAACGGCAGTCCTGTGAGTGTACATTTTGCCTGTCTTTTTTTTTTTTTTTTTTTTTTTTTTTTTTTTTTCCTATAGTAAAGCCATCAATAAGGCCTATGAGGAGTATGTTTTATCTGTTGGGAATTTAGATGAAAGGATATTTCTTGGAGAGGATGCTGAAGAGGAAATTGGGACTCTGTCACGGTGTCTGAACACTGGTTCGGGAGCAGAGGCTGCTGACAGGGTGCAGATGAAAGCCATCCTCCAGCAGCATTTCGACAAGGTGAGCTGGCCAGTGCCAGGAAAGCAGACATGCCGGAGTCTCTGTGTTATTGTGGTGATTGTGTGTGTGTGTGTGTGTGTGTGTGTGTTGTACTTCTTCCAGTACGAAAAGGGAAATTCTTGTCCTACTTAATTGAAAAAGTGGTGTCTGTGTTTACTGACTTAATTTTTGTTAACATCAACTTTCCGAGTTTTTGGTTGGATGTGAGAGAAAGAGCCTTTGATATAAATTTAAATGAATGTATCATGCTGATATAACTGTCAGTTTTTTTAAAAAAAAATGGGCCAGTAATATACAGTCTTTACATATTGAACGTAGTAAGCATTTTAGAAAATGTCAGTTGACCTGAATGGTACCTTCATCTAGACACTAGAGAAACTGATCATCTGTAGTCTTTAGGAAAATTCTGTTAAATTGAATTTCAGGATCATGGTGTTATTTCATGCATACACTTAGGATGATGGAGACTAAGAGTTTCCCTTCTATTGTGTGATGTTCACAGAAAATACACAGCTTCTGACAAGTGCTTCCAAAGGCAGTGTGTATATTTCCAAGGGGGAACTCACCTGTAAGGCCAGACTTAAGCCTGGTTTGCTTATTCATTCAGTAAATATTCTAAAGGTATTCCACACGCCAGATTGTGTCCTGCATACTGGTGATACAGCAGTGAACACAATAGCCATGAGTACCTTGTTTTATATTTCAGTGTGGGGAGATGGACAATAGATAACCAAACAAGTGAATATATTGGACGTCGGATGATAGTGTATAAAGAGAAGTCAAATATGGTAGTAGTTCAGAGCGTGGGGGAGAAGGGAGAACGGGTGGGCCTTGGGCTGCTATAGATAGGGCGGTGAGGAAAGACATCTCCGAGGGGGTAACATCAACAGAGACGTGAAGTGAGGAAGCAAATCATGTGACTAGCCGAGGAATGTGTTTGAAGCCCAGAGAATAGCATGTGCCAGGGCTTGTGGTAGGAGCTCGACTGGCTTTTTGGAGGAATGATGAGAGAGCACTGTGGTAGGAATTGAGTGAGAGAGTGGTTGAAAAGTGAGATGGGGTGGGGGCAGGGCAAACCTTGTAGGGCTTTGGAAGCTCTGGTAAGAATGTTTGCTTTTGCTCTGATAGGAAAGCCATTAGGAAGGTGTTATGGAAAACAGTGACTGAATTAGTCTGATCTGCATTTTTCAAGGTCTTGTAGGGGGTGTTTGGCAGGGGCCAGGGTAGAAGTAGGGAATTAAGAGGCTGTCGCACTGGTTCTGGTGATAGCTCATGGTGGTTTGGATCAGAGCAATGGTGGTACTGGGGCTGTGTTTTGGAGACAGGACCCACAGGATTTCCTGATGGCTTGGATCCAGGGTGTGAGAGAAAGATAATGGCGATGACTCCAGTTGCATAAGTGGGATAAAAGCTGAAGTCCTTCCAAAGGCCTCTGAGGTCTTTGGTGATGTAGCCCGCTGCCTCTCTGAATTCATCTCCTACCACTCTCCTCCTCACCCATTGTGCTCGTCACATTAACCTCTGTTCTCCTTCAGATATGCCGAGCATACCCCAACTCAAAGCCTTTGCTCTTGCTGTTTTCTCTGCCTAGAACATGTTTCTTCAGGATATTCATGTGGTTTATTTCCTCACTACATTCAGGTCTCTGATAGACTGACCACTGCATAGAATAATAACCACTGACATCCTCCCCAACCTTCAGCACTTCCTTCCCCTTTTACTCTGTGATTAGTGTTCCTCTTAGTATTTGTCACTGTCGGGGCGCCTGGGTGGCGCAGTCGGTTAAGCGTCCGACTTCAGCCAGGTCACGATCTCGCGCTCCGTGAGTTCGAGCCCCGCGTCAGGCTCTGGGCTGATGGCTCAGAGCCTGGAGCCTGTTTCCGATTCTGTGTCTCCCTCTCTCTGCCCCTCCCCCGTTCATGCTCTGTCTCTCTCTGTCCCAAAAATAGATAAACGTTGAAAAAAAAATTTAAAAAAAAAAAAAAAAAAAAAAAAAAAAGAAGAAAAAGTATTTGTCACTGTCTTAAGGTAAGTGGGTGGGTAGAAAGAATTGTTTGTCTGGCAGTAAGTAGATAGATAAATACAAAGATGGGAAAAAAGAATCGTTTGTTATGGGTCTCCTGCATTAAAAGATAAACTTCATGAGGGCTGTGACCAGTGCTGTGTTCAGTGCCTGGCACATAGTAGGCATTCCATGAACATTTGTTATTGACATTTATTCGGGGAAAAAACTCAGAGATGGGGGTATGATGGTATGTTATTTGAGATATCTTTTTAGGCATCCTCGTAGACAAGTGGAGTTGGCAGTTTGGATGTACAAGATTGGTGTTCATAGCAGAAGTTAGGGCTGTGTGTGTCTACTCTGGAGACATCAGGATATAGATGGCCTTTAAAGCCATGAAGAGTGACTGTGTGAGTTGATAGAGAATGGAAGAGGTCTAAGGACAGAGCTCTGGGGCACTCCAAAGTTTAGAAGTGTTTACTTGGAGAAGGAAAGTTCTGAAGTTTCAAAAATAGCAATATTTATACCTGAGTCAAAGAAAGACTCCTCTTGATCAGAATGCCCGGGAAGCTTTAAGCCAAGAGCTAAACAGTGCTGCCGAGAAGCTGTATGCTGACCTTGAGAACTGTGGGCAGAAAGCTGTTTGTGGCAGTCATACTTCGTTCCCTGTGTGGAAGCATTGATGTCTGTGGGCAGTGGGAGATGCTGCTGTTGCTTTTGCTGTGCACGTGCAAGGTGTTTTTCCCTCCCAGCAAAGCGCTGGTTTATATACAGGGAAGAAGCTGGCTGTAGGAAAAGCCGTGTAGAGCAGGGAATAGCCTTCTGAATGTAGTTAATCCACCCAGATTGTCTCATTGACCTGAAAAAATTGTAGAATTAATTTCTTTGAAACCAAGTGGAAGTCTTGGCTCTCTCCTGTTTAAGTCACAGAAAACATAGATTTATATCTGTATGTGTAGAGTTATATCTGTATGGCAAATTCCTCTGCATATCTGTATCTCCTTAAACTTGAGTAGTCTGTTTTGCCAGGTGAAAATTTTGCTAGGTGTCTTTATAGTATCTCTAGAATTAATATACTTAGCTATGTGGGGAAACACAGTTTATCTTGAATATTAAAAAACACCCCTGGGGCACCTGGATGGCTTAGTTGGTTAAAGTGTCTGGCTCTTGGTTTCAGCTCTGGTCATGATCTCATGGTTCCTGAGTTTGAGCCCCGCATCGGGCTCTGTGCTGGCAGTGCAGAGCTTGCTTGAGATTCTCTGTCTCCCTCTCTCTCTGCCCCTCCTCTGCTTGCTCTCTCTCTCTCTCTCTCTCTCAAAATAAATAAATAAACATTAAAAAAATAATAAAATAAAAGACACTCTTAAGCTCTCTTAACCTTTCAGAGTTTATTAGAAGAAATAGAAAAGATGTTTTATTAGCATATGTAGTCATGCTTAAATTCTCAGATATTAAGTCCTATCTTTTTCATATTTATATTCAGGAATGTTGACTTAAATTTATTTCCCTGAAGATCTGTAGACTTGAGTTGGGGGAAACCGATAGATTCTAGTAACTATAGGTAAAGGAGGGGCAAGAAGACTGAAGGCTATTCTGTGTCAGGCTGTTTTCGCATCTAGGAATGTTTGTTTTGTTCCATGATTTAGATGGGCTTTTGTTAAATCATGGAATTCATTTGGGCCAGGGTTAGTTCACAGCTTTCCTTTGTCAATCTTTGAGTAGTTACAAAAAAGTGGTGGGTGGCAGCTGTGAAATTCTGTTTCTCAGCGATGCTCTTTACTGTATATTCCTTGTTTGTGCCTTCAGGTTTAGGCCTAAAGTAGGGATGACAGGGAAGTACGGGAAGTATGCCTTGTCTTAGGGTTTAATTTTTGAGAGACAGACTTTCTAGTTGGCTAAAATACAAATTGTCCTTTCACACGTCTTCACATGGAGGGTGGTGGCTCCTAGTGGTGTTATGTTCAGATTCCAAGAATGGAGATATTTGAATCATTAAAATTTATTGATGAAGTCTGATTGGTTTGAATTCTCATTTGTGAAGTAACTGAAAGTCATTCTCATCTAAAATAGTCTTCTCCCCACACGCCCCCATTTGATCCCACAACACCCAGGATCTCCACACCGCGACTGACTGGTGTGTTGATGCGTTAGAGATAACAGCCACTTATTGTGGCGAGTTTCTACAACAACTTACACAGCAGCTTGGAGTGATCTTCACCACCATGCTCACAGGCCTCAAGAATGCGCCAAGTGAGAAATTGGAACAGATTCTAAGGTGGGTTTGAGCCCTTCTTGCCTTCTAAGATTTGATTGTTGACCATTTTCTATTTTAATTTTTTTTTTTTTACTTTTTAGTGGCTTAATTCACCCATTATTAATTTTATACCAGTTGCATGCTCAGACGTGTTATTAGTCTGTAGAGGACATTGGTCACCGTCTGTTGGTGATCATTTTTCCTCAGTGTGTTCCTCAGTATCTCAGTGTGTTCCAGCTGTTATCACAGAATACCATAGACTGGTGGCTTATAAACAACAGTAATTAATTTTTTACAGTTCTAGAGGCTGGAAGTCCAAGATCAAGGTTCCAAGATTCAGTGTCTGGTGAGAACTGCTTCCTGGTTCATAGACAGCTGTCTTTTTGCTGTCCTCACAATGAGCGAGGAGGCAAGGAAGCTCTCTAGGGCCTCTTTTATAAGGGCACTAATCCCATTCATGAGGGCTCCACGTTCATGACCTGATCAGCTCCCACATGCCCCACAGCCAAACACCATCACATTGGGCATTAGGTTTCAACATAGGAATTTGGAGGCGGAGCACAAATATTCAGTCCGTAGCACTCAGATTTCTTCTGTGTAGTAGAGGAGACAGTAATTAATAACACTAGACACTGTAGAATAAGGCACCAAACTGTTACCTAATGTTCTATCTTAAGATTTCAGGAAGCAGGGCAGGGGGCGGGGGGTGGGGATCAATAAAAATAGCAGTTGTCAAAGGACTTCATGAAGAAGATTGGACCTGAGCAAATTTCTGAGGGGTAGGTCAGATTTTAAAAGATAAAACAGTTACATTCATAATCAGTGTCAAACCACCATAACTTTTGTAAGTTGTGTAAAATACCCTTAGTGTGAAAAGGAAGTTAACTGCTTTTAGTCCTTTGATCTGCTGGAGACTGGTAGAAATATCAGTGAGCCCTAGTGAAAAGCCTGATAGACTGGATTTTATTACCTGTGCACATTTTTTTGCAAGTTTATTTGAAAATACTACCTCCAAGGCCCCTCTGTCCTAAAAAGTATCGGATTTGATGACATAGATCCTATAGGAGCCTATTTTATTTCTGGTGGTATAGTATAAGGAGACCCAGTATACACTAGTAATTTCCTAGTCACAGCTAGACTTATTAAATACCAAGGTTGACTAATTTCCCTTCACATTTTCATGAAGTCTGCTTTATTCATAACTTGACTGTGATTAATACCCAACAGGCTGTGGCCTCTTCCACAGATGGACCTTGTTGGCCTAGAATACAGAAGCATTTTATAAATACATTTTAGAAGACTGACTTTATAGCGTCCAGATCTCTTTCCAGGTGTAGGAGCTTCTTTAATCTTAGACACCATTAGTGGGGTTGAATATTTCCAGTAAATGCTAAGTAAAACCAAAGACTCCTATTTTCTGTAAAAAGGTACCTGTGAGTGTGTTCATAAATAAAATTCTGTTTGTGTATGATGGTCAGTAGCTACCTCTAGCAGGATTATAACTGATTTTTATTTTCTTTAGAATTTTCTAAACTTGCTACAATTTTACAATGAATATTTATATTTGTGATCAAAATAAAAGCACAGTTGCTTCTACATAGCACCCACACCTGGAATTGGACCGGGCCACAGCCTCTGGCCTATGGACCCCCCGCAAAGTGAACGAACTTCAGGCCTTCATGAAAATGTGTAAGCAGGACCTGAGTGTTCTGCACACCAAGGAAATGCACTTCCTGAGAATGGGTGGTAAGCGTGGCGGGTTAAATACCACCTGCTACAGTGAAGAAAAAACAGCTAGTAAGAAGGTGGAGGAAAACATAAGACAGATGAACCATCAAGCAAGGAAAGTGGCCTAGAAATTGACAGTGAAGGTGTGATTGAACCAGATAACAATGCCCCTCAAGAAATGGGAGATGAAAATATAGAGATGAGTGGGGAAATGGTGGATCCAGCAAATGATGAAATAGTGGCTGTCATTGGATGCCCTAAATGATGATGAGTTGCAAAAGGCCATTGATTTGTACCCAGATGCCATCAAGCTGAATCCTCACTTGGCCATTCTGTGTGCCAGGAAAGCCAGTGTCTTCATTAAATTACAGATGCCAAACACTGCCATCCAAGACTGTGACAGAGCTATGGAAATAAATCCTGACTCAGCTCAGCATTACAAGTGGCATGGGAAAGCCCAGACTTCTGGGCCATTGAGAAGAAGCAGCATGTGACCTTGCCCTTGCTTGTAAACTGGACTATGATGAAGATGCTAGTACGATGCTGAGAGAAGATCAGTGAGGGCCCAGAAAATTGCCAAACATCAGAGAAGGTATGAGTGAAAAAGTGGAGAGTGAAAACACGAAGAGCGAGAGATCAAAGAAAGAATAGAAAGTAGGGTTGAGAAGGCTTGGGAAGAACACGAGAGAACCTGGAGAGAGGAAGAAGCTAGATGACAGAAGCTCAAACTGGCTCTTTTCTAGGTGCTTTCCTGGGGGCAAGCCTGGAATGGCAGGAATGCCTGGGCTCAGTGAAGTTCATAGTGATCCAAAGGTTCTTACAGCCATGCAGGATCCAGAAGCTCCAGTGGCCTTCCAGGATATGGCCCAGAATCCAGCAAATGTGTCAGATATCAGAGCAGCCCAAAGGTTATGAATCTCCTCGGTAAATTGTCAAATTTGGAGGTCAAGCATAATGCCTTTCTGACAAGTAAAACCCTTGCTGAAGGAAACACAACTTAGATCACCTCATGGGCATCACATTAGTACAGACCTGTGTACTGACCTCGTGGAGCTGGGGTGCTATGAAGATGGTCTCTACCCCTCTGCCCCACATGCAACCAAAACATTTTATAGTGGTTTGCCACTGGGTATTCATTCAGGTGGGGTTTTCCTAGTAGCAATTACTAGGAATCCCTACTAGGAATTTTATGCCTTAAACATATTTAAAAACAAGTTTTAAAAGGATATGTTAATTCCTAACAACAAAAAAAAAGAAACATAGTTGTTAACAACTGCTGATAATTTGTTTCTGCTTCTGCATTGAATATATATTGCCTTTCAAGTTAAAAAAAAAAAAAAATCAATGAAATACACCTCGCTTTGGAGGAAAAAATGAAAAGTGCCAGTAATGGTTTCTATGAGTCTGTAGTATAGTTTATACACCCCTTCATTCTGTTTTCTTCCAGGAGTTCCTAATGGGACTTGTATTGCCCTCTGAGGAAACAATTGAAGGCAGTTTTGTTTGTTACCAGTGATTGCAGATGTGTAGGGTAGATGGGGGCCAGTCAAGAATGCTAAATTTAACTGCATGCAGCTCCACACAAGATACATTTTTTTCATGCAAAACGGTAGGACCAGCACCTGTGATAAGGAAGTATGGCATCTCCTAGAATACTTTGGGAGGTGTAGTTTCTGTTCAAAGTATTTTATATTTATAGGTTAGTAAAACTACAGAATTATACACAGTTTATTTGTGACTCAGCAAGACCTTTAAGTTGGATACTTTTTTTTTTTTTTAATTAAAAAAAAATTTTTTTTTTAAATTTTAGGACATGTTCCAGGGATCCAACACAGGCTATTGCCAACAGATTGAAAGAAATGTATGAAATATATTCTCAGCATTCCCAGCCAGATGAGGATTTCAGTAATTCAACTAAAGGTACAGCTTAATATTGTCTGTATTGTTCATTTTTGAAGTTTAACTACAGGGTCCTTTCTTGGTAACTAAATCAGAAAGATGAAGAAAAGATTTATGACTTTAGATTGAGGTCTGAGATATGGATATCCAATTTTTTTTTGTCAACCAAGTAGTTTCTGGGCCTTTCTCCATAAGAGAAATTTTAGACTGGTTGGACTTATGGTACTTTGTTTGCAAAATCTTTAGTTTCACTTGTAGACTAGATACTATTAAATATAGAAGTATAGTGATTCTTTAAAATACTAAGAATAAGTTCAGAAGATACAACTGTTTCATCCTCAGACCTGTTCTAGAAGTTGTTTGATGTTATGAATTAGAACCAAGTATGAGTAGAGTAGCAAACCAATTGTATACCTCCTAGCATACAGCTGTTCAATTCAAACTTACAAAAAAAAATATGACTCTTAATGGAATGCTATTACAGTTTTCTCAGTGCAAATTTCATTTCATAATTTTAGAAAATTTTGAGCGTTAGTTTGGTTACCATGAAGAAAATTAAAAAATCTTAGGAATGATGGGAACAGCAGGTCTAAGAAGTGCATGTATATGAAGTAATTGGTTGGTTTTTATATTTTATTTCGTGGGCAGGGGATGGGATAAACTCTCACTTTCTACAATAATTTCTTAGCATGTGACTGTTTCTTTTATTATTTATGCAGAAATTGCCAGCAAACATTTTCGTTTTGCAGAAATGCTCTACTATAAAGTATTAGAATCAGTTATTGAGCAGGAACAGAAAAGACTGGGAGACATGGATTTATCTGTGAGTAAATGACCAGTGTATTGATCAGCACAATAAAATTTAATTCCCTTTTGGCCCTACCCATACAGAACCCAAACTAAACAAAACAAAACAAAGACAAAACCATGGCTCTGAGGGAGTGATTGGCACCTAAGGAAACTTGTGTTCTGAGTCTCCTTACCCCACTTAGTGTTTCTCAGTGCAGCAGGCCATGTGCTATAACTCATGGTTTCTATGGGCCTTAAGACTATAGTCAAGGATTAAAACATTCAGGAGCTTCTGGGTGGCTCAGTCAGTTAAGCGTCCGACTATTGATTTTGGCTCAGCACAGTTCGTGGGTTTGAACCCTGTGTTAACCTCTGGGCTGACAGTGGGGAGCCTGCTTGGGATTCATTCTCTCTCTCTCTCTCTCTCTCTCTCTCTCTCTCTCTCTGCACCTATTCCCCAATAAATAAATAAACATTTTAAAAAAAGGATTGAAACATTCAGACTTAACCTGAATTGAGTTTTTAGAATACATGAACTTATTAACCTGTATACTCTCCTGACAAGCCTTGTGTAGCAAGAATAAGTTGAGTGTTGACTCGATAGGACTTTAGCATCAACATTCAACCAGTGCTCTTTGATGAAGGTGATTACTTTTTGTAGATTTTACTAGCCAAATATAAATTGATTTTGAAATAAGTGGTATTTACTTAAATGACATCAATAAAAATTTTTAAAATCTTTTTTTTTCATAAAGTATTTATTTATTTTGAGAGAGAGAGAGCAGAAGGGGCAGAGAGAGAGGAAGAGAGAGAATCCCAGGCATTCTCAGTGCAGAGCCTGAGGCAGGGCTCCATCTCACGAACCTTGAGATCATGACCTGAACCAACATCAAGAGTCGGACACTCAACTGACTGAGCCACCCAGGCGCCCTAAAAACTATTTTTTAAAGTAACATTTTAGGAAAATTTTAAAATTGATAATTGTTCTAATTTCTTGTAACTATTTACATTTCTTTTTTATATGTAAAATTATGACTGTTGGAATTTAAAAGTTGTTAATGACAGATTTTTAAACTTTGAAATATACAGAAGGGTGTATAAAACATAGCTGCAATTTAGGGGGTGATAATAATTATTGGATACATGTATACTCACTTAAGAAACTTATTAAAACAACTTTTTTATTGTAAAATATATATAACATTTAACATTTTAAGCATTTTTAAATGTATAATTCAACAGCATTAAGTACATTCATGGTGTTATGCAACCCTTACCACTAGCCATCTTTAAAACTTTTTCATTATTCCAAACTGGAAGTCTGTACCCATTAAACAGTGACTCCCCATTCACTTCTCTCTCCAGCTCCTGGTAATCTCTACTTTGTCTCCACGAATTTACCTATTCTAGGTATAATCATACAATATTTATTCTTTTGTGTCTCATTTATTTTACTTGGCATCATGTTTTCAAGGTTCATGCATGTTTTAATGTCTGTCAGAACTTTATTCCTTTATAAGACTAAATAATATTCAGAATATTATCCATAATATTCAGTAGTATTGTCTGCCTTTTGTCAAGTTGTAGGAGTTCTTTATATATTAGTCCCTTATCAGGTACACGATTTGCAAATATTTTCTCCCGTTCTGTGGGTTGTGTTTTTACTTCATTGATGGTGTCCTTTGATACAAAAAAGGTTTTAATATTTTTAAAAATGTTTACTTTTGAGAGAGCGAGTGAGTGTGCACAAGCAGGGGAGTGGTAGAGAGAGAGAGGGAGACACAGAATCTGAAGCAGGTTCCAGTCTCCATGCTGTTAGCACAGAGCCCAACATGGGGCTCGAACTCATGAACCATGAGATCATGATCTGAGCTGAGGTTGGATGCTCAACCAATTGAGCCACACAGTCACCCCCAAAAGATTTTAATTTTGATGAAGGCCAGTTTATCTGTTTTTTTTCTCCTGTTACCTATGTTTTTGGTGTCTAAATAACTTTAATTCAAAAATAGTAAATGTTTATGTATAGAGTTGGAAAATTAATAAGCAAAAACAAAAAGGAAAATATGATTATGTGTCCTGAGATAAACGTGTTGACTTTTGGTCCATGACGATCTAGCCAGTCACCTGCCTTCCTTCCAGCTGTCCTTTTATGAGAGTGGCCTCTAACTATAAATACTGTTTTGTAACATCTTTCCGTATTATTATTCCTCTAAGCAGCAGGGTGTATGTATATTTTTATTAGGGATGTAATTTTTTATTACCTATATTTTACAATATGTAAGATTTTTAAAAGTTCATACACATTCTTTTAATACTTGTTTTTGCTAAAACATGGTCTTATTTATAAAGTTAAGAAAAGTTTTATAAGGAAGTTAAGCACATACTTCTCACTAACTCAAAAAATGACATGCTTTGGTATTTTTATTTAACTTGACTGGGGAAGAAATGTCTTGTTAGAGTAGGCTTATGTTTCTAAATGTTAATAACTTTGTTTTGTAGGGCATTCTGGAACAAGATGCATTCCATAGATCGCTTTTGGCCTGCTGCCTTGAGGTCGTCACTTTTTCTTATAAGCCTCCTGGGAATTTTCCATTTATTACTGAAATATTTGATGTGCCACTTTATCATTTTTATAAGGTATTTAAAAAAATCTGACACTTATGAGGAAATTATAGATGAGATGAACTTCGTGTTGTTCAGCAGCTAATTCATTTTGCTACCTACATACATTTCTTCTCTTCTCTTTTTTTTTTTTT